CACGGCTTCTTGGCTGCCTTAGGGAGGATGAGACAAGCCTGAGCCCAGTCCCATGCTTCTGGTGCCTGCGGCAAAGTAACCCAGGATAAGGCTGTTTGAAGGTGGGTCCTGCCCAGCTGCTTGAGGGAGTTCTTTGAGGCTGCTTTCCTTTCCCTCCGGAAGGACATGGTGCCATGGGGAATGCCGGGCTGCATACCAGGGTGTCCCCACGCTGTGAGCAGCTTCACCAGGGGCACTTTGTGGGAGGGAGCTGGAGGCAGCACCCTGGGTTAAGGGTGTCTCTTGTAAATTTGGAGGCCATACAGAAGGAATAAGACCATACGGGAAACTGCTGTAGCCTGAGGAGCAGAGGCTGCCTGCTGTTGTCACAGGGAGGAGCCATGGCTCAGCTCCCCATCCCATGGCCCCTATCGGCATCCCCTCGCAGGGTGCTTTGGAGGGTGCTGATAAGCGGAGCTGTGCTCGGCTGTGCTGCACCGGGCTGCAGAGCGGGGGAACCACCACCGGCCCCATGCTTCCTGCTCGCTCCGGCACAAAGAGCTCCCGCTGCTCGGCGGGACCCGGCTGCGCTTTGATGGAAGGAAGCGAGCTGCTGCGGGTCGTGGGCCGGCCGGGGCTGAGCCCGGGAGCTCAGCGTGCCAAGGGCAGCCCAGGCACCGGGAGCCGGCATCGCTGCTGCGCGCCGGCACATCCCTGCTCCAGGGCAGGAAGGGCCGCAGCCGTGTAATCGGCGCCCAGCAGCTGCCGCTGCGTGAGCCCGGCGCGGCCGGACAGGCCTGATGATAATGGTGCTTCCGTGGCCAGGTCTGCAAATGGGCTCCTGGGGAGCGGTGCTGGGCCTCATGCCGCGCTGCTCGGCTCCATTGGGTTTATAGATGCCTGTGCTGGCAGCACGCAGGGCTCTGGAGGGAGAGAGGTGCCTTTGAGGGGAAGCAGTGCTGAATCAGCAGCCGTGGTTCTCCCACCCCTTTGGCCGATCCTCTTGCCAGCTCTTGCCATGGCGAGGCATGGTGCCTGTGCAGGGTGCCAGGCTGGCACAGGGCCCTCCTGCCCTGTGAGGTTCCCAGGGGGTTGGTGAGGATGGGGACACCGCATCCCAGCCCACACCTGGCTGGTAAGAGGTCTCTGGTTCAGCCATCACGGAACTGGTAGCGCTGCACAGTGCTGGACTGACATGGCACTGCTCCCAGCAAGCGCATCCCCTCCTCTCCCTCCCAGGTGGCCTGGCCGGAGGGATCGAGATCTGCATCACATTCCCTACCGAGTATGTGAAGACACAGCTGCAGCTGGATGAGAAGGCAAACCCTCCCCGTTACAAGGGCATCGGTGAGCATGCCGGCCTGCTGGATGGGTTCAGAGGCTCCCGGGGAGCCTGGCTGGAGCTGGGGGGTCAGCGGGGTTTGTGGGGTGAGCAGTGGGGCTGGCACAGTGGCCTCAGCATAGCGGATGATGGTGGTGCCGCTGTGCTCTGCTGCAGGAGACTGTGTGAAACAGACTGTCCGTGACCATGGCATCCGGGGGCTGTACCGGGGGCTCAGCTCGCTGGTGTACGGCTCCATCCCCAAGGCTGCTGTCAGGTAGGTGCCCCGTGATGTGGGGTGAGCTGGGGACTCTAGGCAGCAGCAAACAAAGGGTGGGTTTGCCCTCAGCATCCCCAGTGTCACTTCACCAAAGGGTGCTTTCCTGGGTGGGAAGGGTCCCCTCGCAGGGTGCATGGCTGCTCCCGGGGGCAGACCCAGAACAGGGGGTGCAGGCCCCTGGCTGGGTGCCCTGGGGTTGCAGAGCGGCTCCTTTGCAGGTTTGGGATGTTCGAGTTCCTCAGTAACCAGATGAGAGATGAGCAGGGGCGGCTGGACAGCACTCGGGGCCTCATCTGCGGGCTGGGTGCCGGCGTGGCCGAGGCTGTGGCCGTTGTTTGCCCCATGGAGACCATAAAGGTGGGTGGGAGCAGCCACCGGTGTCCCCCTGCCCAGCACCCCACCCCGGGCAGAGTCGGGAGGGGATGAGAGCCAGGGATGCTTTCAGGGACCTGAGGGCCACGTGGGTTTGCCCAGGCTGGGTTTGTAGGGGACGAGCTGATGCTGGAAAGCCCCATGGAGAGGTCAGGTCCAGCAACCACAGTCCCTTTCCCACTCTGGGGAGGACCCCCCCCACCCAGGAGCCACCCCATCACCCAGTTTAGTACTGTAAAACCCATGTTGTTGCTTTCAGAAGCAGTTTCCCAGGTTTTTCTCTGCAAAATGCCATGGGCACAGGCTTCCCCTGTGGTCTCACCTTTCATTGCTTGGCCACGAGGGTCAGCTCTGATTTTGGGACCATCCCTGGACAGGTAGCCATTAGCCCTTTGGGGACATTACATCTCCCCGTGCCTTGGCCACGACAAGCTCATTGTCTCCCTGCAGGTGAAGTTTATCCATGACCAGTGCTCCCCCAAGCCCAAATACCGTGGCTTCTTCCATGGTGTACGGGAGATTGTTCGGGAACAGGGTGAGTCCCCAGGGAGAGGCACCCTGAGCCCTGGGGTGCTGCCGCACTGCAGGGACGGGGCAGGAGGTGGCACAGGCTGGGACCAGCAGCCTGGGGAGGTTTTTCTCTGCTGGTGGGGTTGGTGCTCTCCTCCAACGCCCTCTTGCTGCAGGACTGAAAGGGACCTACCAAGGCTTAACCGCGACTGTCCTCAAGCAAGGTTCAAACCAGGCCATCCGCTTCTTTGTCATGACCTCCCTCAAGAACTGGTACAAAGGTACGGTGTCCCTGTCCCCACAGCACACCCTGGGTTGCTGGCTTCTCCAGCCCATCCTCGGGAGCTGGGCTTGGGCTTTCCATCAGCCCATCCTCCACTTCTCGTGGCCCAGCCAGACCTGGAGCCTTCCTTGGGCTCCCTTGGGGATGCCGTGCTTCATCCCCACACCACCACTCTGCCCTCAACCTCTCCTCCTTCCCAGGGGATGATCCCAACAAGGTCATCAACCCCTTCGTCACGGGGGTGTTTGGAGCCCTCGCCGGAGCCGCGAGTGTCTTTGGCAACACCCCCTTGGACGTGGTAAAGACCAGGATGCAGGTACAGCACCGGGCATGGTGTGGGACCTCTCTGCCTTTGGTGGGATGGGGCCACTGTTGTTTGGGAGCTGTTTTGTGAGCCCACAGGGCTGGCACCCAGTGCTGGTGATGTTTGGGAGATGCCTGGGGATGCTGCCCTCTCATAGGTGGGCTGTGGGATGCCAAAAAAGTGCACAGAGAAGATGGGGATGTCCCTGCTGGGTTTGGTGGCCCACAGCAACAAAGGGCAATCGGTTCCTCTTGGCTCCCCCCCAGCTCTGCCTCCCCTATGAAATCCCCCCAGATGCATCCCTGCCTCTGGCCTCTGACCCTGCTTTTCCTATCCACAGGGGCTGGAAGCTCACAAGTACAAGAGCACCTGGGACTGTGCCTACCAGATCATGAAATACGAAGGGCCCCTTGCGTAAGCGCTGCGAGTGGCATGGGGGGAGCCGGGGAGAAGGATGGGCAAGGACAGGGGTTTCTGAGGGCACCGAGCCCCACGGATCCCCCTCTATCCCTGGCAGGTTTTACAAGGGCACGGTGCCTCGCCTGGGCCGCGTCTGCCTCGATGTGGCCATCGTCTTCATCATCTACGACGAGGTGGTCAAGCTCCTCAACAAGGTGTGGAAAACGGACTGAGGGGGCCAGGCCAGGCGGCCCCCACCTCCCTCACCCTGTGGGGATGCAGCTGGAGAGCAGTGACCAAGTCTACTGGGGCCAAGTCTGCCCCACACTCACGCCTTCCCCCCACACCCGGCCACCTTTATGTTTAGTAACAGGCTCTGGAGCAGGTTAAATTATTAGTTGTGCGCTAAAAGGAGCAGGGAGGGAGCAGCATCTGTGTCCAGACCCTCAGCATCCTGGTTATGCCCACCCTGAGCCCCTGGTGACACTTCCTCCTGGTCCCATATCACTTGTAAGCGCCAGTTATCCAGGACAAGGTGTCCCCTGGGACGGTGGCCCAGGACCCCAGCAGCCAGGAGCTGCCTGTGGGCCAGCTCTTTTTTGGGTGCTGAGAGCCCCCCCAAGCCATGTGGGCACAATGTCCATGCTGTGCAGCAAGCACTGCAGCTGCAGGAGGCTCTTGGGGCTGATGCACCATCTGGAAGCGATGCGGTGGGTCTCACAGCAGCTCCATGGGGATCCACCAGCCCTGCACACCCTGGTATGGGATGGCAGCGACCTCCTGGTGTGGTCCCAGGCTCCCTCCTCCTTGCAACCACCAACCCCCCCTGGGGTGCTGCATCCCAGCCCCGGGTCCTGCTCAGCGCTGGGCTGCCCGGAGTTGCACATACAGCCAGGCCTTTAGTTCTTGCTGTGGGACCGGGGTGAGCCGGGTGCCCCATCACTTGCCGTTTACAGTCGAGACGCGTGTGCGAGCCGGGGTGAGGAGGCACAGCCCCGTCCCGCAGACTTGGCCCCTCGGCCAGGGTGCAAACCCCTTTTTCTGCCACATTCCTCCCATCTGCCCTCCCACTGCCTCTCTGCAGCTCCATAGGTAATCCTGTAGCTTTCCGAGCTTCATGCTGACCTACTAACACCCGTGGCCGTGGGGCTGGAGCCCTGCTCTGCCCCATGCTGGGCTTGGCCCTGCCAGATTTGTGCCAAACTTCTCCCAAAGGATCAGGGGGTGGGCACGGTAGCCAGGGCTCGACCCATCCCTTCTCCCTCCTGTTGCCAGTGATGAGCGCAGCCTTAACACAGGAGGGCAAAGGAGGAGAAGGAAAACCCAGGCATGGTTTACCTGTGGCTTTCTGCTCTGAAGCCAGTGAGGGTTGCATTGGGTTTGTTTGGTTATTTTTACTGTTATTCTGTTTTACATTCGCAATTTGAATAAAATCAGTCTGGCTTTAGCAGCCCTGCTGGTGTCCAGGCTGCGCTGGGCGCCTGCGGCCAGGGCTTGGGGATGGGGCTCCCCATTGTGTTGAGCTGGAGCTCCTGGGGGAGCATCGGCTTCGTCCCAAGGACAGTGTTGTATTCACCATCCTGGTTTACTGCCCTGGCCACGGAGCGCAGAGCTGGGATGGCAGCGGGCGGTGGAGCAGAAGGGAACAGGCTTTGTCCCCCGCCCAGCGCAGGGGCGGTGCGCTGGGCTCCCAACGCCACCGGCGCAGCCCTTGCTCCTCACCCGGCGTTCGCTGGTGCTGGGCAAAGCCGTCCCTTGGTGCTGCGGGGCGGCCGTGCCATGCGGGGCCTGCTGCTCTGCGGGGGCTGGCTGCTGGCCGCCGGCTGCCTGGTGGGTGCCAGCGGCAGCTGCCGGCACCGGTGCTGCCCGGGCAGGAACAACGCGTGCTGGGTGCTCGGTGTCCGCCGGGCTCACTGCTACTGCGACTCGTACTGCCAGAGGACGGGCGACTGCTGCCAGGACTACCACAGCGTGTGCCGCCGCGCCGGTGAGTGGTGGGCGGGGATGGCACTGGTTGAACCCCGGGGCTGGGAATGCCAGCCTCGGCTGCTGCTTTTGGTGGCAGATGTTTGCTGTTAGCCCCGTACTTGGAGCACAACAGGATGTGTCTGAGGATCGCGGATGCCCGCTGGGCTGGATTTGGAGCAATATCCCCATTTTCCGCTTTTTTCCACGCTGGATGAGTGGATGCTCTTAGCGTAATGAGAGCCGGCGGGGTTGGCCTCCGGTCGGCAGCTGATGGTAGTGCTCTTGTTGCAAGCCTGAGCTGTCAGTGTGGGACCTGAGCAGGATGAGCCCGGGCATCACCCCTGCCGCTGTTGCGGGCAGTGCCTTGCACGGGAACACGGGAATGGGGATGACAAACAGGGAGTGTAGGCTTGGGGGGTGCAGAGCCAGCCCGCCCTGGGAACCCAACCCTGGGGCAGCTCCCACAGCGGCCCCTGCACAATTGCAGCAGTCAGCCCTCCCTAATCTCCGGGGAGATTAGCGGGGTCCCAGCTCAGCGCGATGTAGAGCAGCAGCAGCAGCACGGGGATAAGGGCTGTGGAAGCCGAGCACAATGCCACTGTGCTGGAGCCCGGGGAGAGGGGCTGCCAGGGCCACGCCGGCCCTTTGCCGTCCTCCCATCCTGCATCTCCCCTGCTCCCCTTCCACCTTTCGTGCTACTGAAGCTGTTTCCCTCTGTCCCCCTGCTCTCCGGCAGCTGTGGGCTGTGCGGTGGGGCCCTGGGGGCCGTGGAGCGGGTGCAGCTCCCCGTGCGGGGTGGGCAGCAAGGCCCGCAGCCGCCAGGTCACCGTCCCGCCGCGGCACGGAGGGGAGCCCTGTCCTGACCTCAAGCAGCGCCGCGGCTGCCTGGGCGAGCACCCGACCTGCGGCACAGCCAAAGGTAACGCGGGTCCCGCTGGGTGCCCGATCCCCCTGCGCCGCTGTCCCCAGAGCTGCCAGCCCCGCTGCCTTGCCAGGGCACCGTTAACCACCCGTCTGTGTGTGTGTGTCTGTGTCCGTGTCCCGGCTGCCCTTCTGCCAGAGGTGGCCAAGATACTACCCGATTCCTTCAGCCAGGACTTCAGGGATCCCTGGCGAAGAGCTGGGATGCTGCTGCTGGAGGAGCCGTCCCGGTAGGTGTGGGGCTGGGGTCCCTCTGCACATCGCCCTGCAGCCACGGCACCTTGTAACCCCCAGATCCACGGTCTCTTTGCACCCCCCCCAGCCATTACCCTTCTATCCCCACCCCAAACCATGGCTCCTTTCACCCTTTTCTTGACCCGTGGCCTGTTTATACCCCACTAGAGCTAATACTTTTCTCCTCCACCACAACCCCGTGGCCCCTTTGCACCACCCTACAAAATTAAGGCTGCTTTGAACCCCCCTCTTAAAGCTATTACCCCTCCCAAAACCATGATCCCTTTGTATCCCCCTAAATCTATGTCTCCTTTGCCCCCATAGCCCCTATTCCAATGCTATACAGAGCCATGGCTCCTCTGTAGCCCCCCCCCCCCCAAGAGCTATGTCCCCTTTGCACCCCTCAGGACCATTACCCTTCCACCTCCCCACCCTGAAACAACAATCCATTTGCACCCCCCTCTAAATCCATCATCCCTCTGCAAACTGCCCCAGAGCCATTAACCTTCTCACCCCCAAACCCATGGCCATTCATACCTCCCTCCTCCATCAAGAGAACACCGCAACCTCTGCCCTACCATCCAACCACCATTTCCCCCCTCTTTCTCCCCATTTTCCCCCCTTCCCAGCTCTCCCCTCCCCAGCTACTGCGGCTATTTCCGCCTGACACAGGTAGGGCCCCTGTGCCGAGAGCAGGCCTGGAGCCGCCGGCTGCACCCGAACAAGCAAGTGTGTGTAGAGTGCCGGGGGGACACGTCCCAACACCGTCCCCACTGCACCGGGCACGGGCTGCAGGGAGCCAGGTAGGGGGGAAGCCCCTTTGGAGGTGCAATGCACCCTTTAGGGCTCCTCCAAAGGGAGGAGCATCTCTCCGTGTCCCTAAGGCACCTTCCTTTTACATTCTTAATATATAAAATGAATATTATGATATGGCACAGCATGAGAAGTTAAATCAGTAATATGTACTGTAAATCAGTAATATATAAAAATAAATAATATACTAATAGAATATTTCAGTTGGAAGGGGCCTACAGTTATCATCTAGTCCAACTGCCAATATGTGCTATATATACACAATATATAACTATAGATATCTAATTGTTTATGGCACACCCCAGCTCTTACCGTCTTTCCCTTCCAGGACATTTTGGGTGGCTGCCTCCGTGGCAGGGTGTCAGGGCTCGTGGGTGCAGGAGAGGCTGCAGGAGGGTTGTGTCTGCTCCCCACCAGCTCTCATCTTCGTGTAGCCCCCCCAGGTGAGCTGAGCCGCTCCACTGCTGCTTGCTGGGGAGGCAGGGAATGAAATGAAAACATGGTGTCTTTTGTAATTTCACCCTTCTGCAGGCTTGCTGCTTGCCCTTGGAGCTGACTCCCTGTGCTCTCCATGAAGTATTTGGTTGAAGAGTGGGAAGAAACCCTGCTTATAAAGATTAAAAATAAGGGAGTCGCTGAAGTGTGGTGACTAATGGTGGAAGGACATCACACTGGTGACATGGGAGGACAATGGGATGATGTCAGGCTCAGCTGCGACATCATGCTGTGCAACGAGATGCTGTTGGCGAGCAGCTCGAGGATGGAGATCACATCCTTCCTCTGTGTGTTTGGGCTGGTCCCACTGCAGGGAACTGCTGGGTGAGCCGTGAAGGGCGCTCGGCTGCGTGCTGTGGTTTGCAGAGACAAATTAAACAGAGGTACCCAAAGTCTGCACGTGGGTGATGATGCTGGTGGGTGGCTGGGTTCAGCTGGAGGGAGTGGGGCTGAGCTGTGATGCTGGGCTGTGCTGGTGCCCTCCTCAGCCTGCATGACACGAGCCTGATGGTGGGGTGCCCAGCCCAGCCTTGGTACCCACAGCTGAGACATTGTGCTGGCAGCCTCACCCCTGCCTGCACCCACAAACCACCCCCTGGGTGACTTCACCCCTGCCAGGCTGGGTGCCGGGGGTCTGTGTACCCTAGGGCTTGGGGTTTGAACCCCCAGCTGTGGTTGGGAGCTGCTGCCTGTTTGCTGCCCCAGGATGCACCCAGCTCCTGCCGCCTCCCCCTCTCCCCCTGCCCCTCCGGAGCAGGGAAACCACAAGGCTTCAATGGGGATGATGCTCTTGGTCTCTTTATTTGGGATAAAAGCCCAGGTTGACCATGAGCTAAAAAAACACGTGCTGGGAGCTGAGCAGCACAAGATGGGGCAAAGCTCCAGGGAGCATGTCCCCTCCTCCCAGCCAGACCTGAGGGCAGGAATGCCGCAAGCAAGAGCATAGGCACAGGCCAAGGCGACGCTGCACTGGTGTCCTTGGGGTGGAGAGTTAGAAAACACTGGGAACAAAGTGAGTGTGTCCCGCACAGGGAGTGGGGGTCCCCTGAGTTACACCACCGAACCTGCAGTCCTGGCTGGTGGCCACAGACAGCATCCAGCAAATGGAGGGACGCGGCTGCGGGGCTCAGTGTGATGCTGCTCTGTGCCTGGAGCTGTCAGGCAGCCCCAGATGGTGGTCCCGGCTCCCCCAGCGCATTGCCCTGGCAGGGCACAGGGGCCAGCCCGTGCTGCGCCAGCAGCCCCTGCACCAGCTCCAGCTCCTGCTCCAGCTCCTGGGTGCCACAGCCCAGCCCTGGCACGGTGGCAGCATCTTCCCCCAGCACCTGCAGCGCCTGTGCCGCCAGCCGGGCCCTCACCAGCAGCACGGCCATGGCTGCGTGCAGCTTGGCACAGCCCAGTGCCTTCATCCCACAGCAGGCAGCGGCTTCTGTGGAGAGAGCAGGCAAAGGAGCTATGAGCATGGCAGAGCTGGCCTGGGGACAAGGACACCAGCTTGCCTGTCCCAAGGCTGCACGCTGTGCCGTACCTTGGCTCCAGTGCTGCTTGCAGTACTGCAGGTCGTGCAGGACACCGGGGCCTGTGGCTGTCAACCAGTGCAGAGCCGAGGCACGGACTGCAATGCTGGTGGATGCCTTCTCCAGGAGCTGCAGCAGGATGGGAAGCAGCTGCCGTGCCAGGACAGCCGGCTCCGCAAAAACATTGGGTTCATCCTCTTTGTACAGGCTGACGGCTCTAGGGGAGAAAGATGAGGTACAAGTGAAGCCAAAGGCCAGCCCCATGGTATCCTGTGCTCCCCTGTACCTCCTGCCCACAGGTCCGGCAACTCACTTGTTGGCCTCCAGCTCCTTCACGATGCCCCTGAGATCTAGGACAGGGAGGTGCTGCAGCAGCATGTCAAAGGTTTCAGGGTGCTCCCCAAACTCTGCCAGGAGGAGCCGCAGGAGGCCCTGCAGCCCCACGTTGTCCTGAACAAAGACGCAGCTGTCGTGGAGCGGCTCCCCAGGGTCCTGCTGCAGGAGGCTGGCGAAACCCGCGGCCTCGTGCCGGACCTCCCGCTCCTCGTCTTGCAGAAGGTGAATGCCCACATTTATCAGCCTGGGGAGAGGGAAGGGAAGGGAAGGGAAAGGAAGGTCACTGCACTCCTCAGAGCACCCCCAGCCTGCCTGGAGGGGAGGGAAGGATGAGACCTCCTAGGGGAATGTTTCCCCGAGGGCCTTTTCTCCCGGGTTGTGAAAGGCAGAGCCACCACCCAAGCGCTGGCAGCTGGGGAGGGCAGGGACTGCAACAGGGGCTGTGGGACCCAGCAGTGCAATTTGCTGCACAGAAAGGACTGGTTGCTTCTATTAAAATGCCACCCACAAACGTTCTGTAGGCTTGGGTGCTGCTGATTTTTGAATGAGTGGGGTTTTCTTTAAATCCCCTGAGTTTTTTGTAGGGGACATCCTTCACAGTCAGCTAACCCACAGCACCCTGGGGCTGGGGCTCCAAGAGCAGTGCTATTGGGAATGCGTTGCAGCCACGGGCAATGGGGATGTATGCGGCCAGGGGATGTGCTCAGTGACCTACCGCAGAGCCACGGGGACAAGCACAGGACAGGCAGCACGCAGGGACCGCCGCACCACGGCAGCACCTGCTGTCTGCAGCGAGCGGGCAGCCGCCAGCCGCAGCTCCTCGCACGCAGCGGAGCGGCTGCACTCCTCCAGCGCCGCGCACCACCGCTGGACCAGCGCGCCGTCCTCATCCCCAAACCTGCCAGGGAAGCACAGGGAACTCAGAACACCTTGAGCTCCATCCAGCGGATGGCAGCTACCGCCTGCCCTGAGACTGCAGGACCCAGATGCAAAGATGCGATTTGTAAATCATAGAATCAACTCATTTGGAAAAAGACCTTTAAGTTCATCAAGTCCAGCCACTACCCCAGGACTACCAAGACCACCACTAAACCCGGTCACTAAGGGCCTCATGTACATGTTGTCTGAACACTTCCAGGGATGGTGATTTCACCATTGCCCTGGGCAGCCTGTTTCAATACCTGACCACCCTCTCAGTGAAGATTTTTTTCCTAATATCCAATCTAAACCTCCCCTGGTGCAGCTTGAGGCCATTACCTCTTGTTACTTGGGAGAAGAGACCGACCCCCACCTCACTACAACCTCCTTTCAGGTAGATGAGAAGTCACAGCTCTGTTTCCAGCAAGGACTAAGGAGAAGTCTCCTGGAAGGGTCGGGCTGAAGCCTTGGCAGCAGCAGGGACCTACCAGTGGGTGAGCAGCAGGCTGGCAGCACACAGCGCCTGGAAGAGGAGATCGGGACCAGGACACTCAGTTTCCACCATGTGCAGCAGCATCTCCAGGCATGCTGCCGAGGAGCCCTGGAGCTTACGGGAAGCTTCCTGGGACCACGAGGAGGGGTCTCTGTAAAGATGCAGCAAAGCCTCAAGGTACAATCTCAGGAACTCTCTGTCCCTTCTCTCTTGCAGCACCGACCGCAAGCTCTCCTAGTTGACAGTGGGAAAGAAGGTACATGGTTAGTGGCCCTGACACAACACGGTGGCAACCTCAGCACAACCAGGCAAGTGCCTGCACCCTCAGCCCAGGGAGCACTGTGCTTCTCAGAGAGCACCCAGGGTCCCACCTGCACAGTGCATTGGGGACCTTCTGCTTTACTTAGTGACTTTTGAGCCTTGCCATACCAGCAATGTTAGCCCGAGAGCCTTCTCCAGCTCCTCACACGTTCCTTCCTTCCTGGCGATCGCCCAGCTCAGGATGGCAAGCTGGACATCAGGATTTGACTGCTGGACAAGTGAGCAGACAGCACCAATCCTCTTGCTATCCGCCAGCCGCACTGCCTCACTGCACATGAAGCGGGCCATCGTTTGGTGGAGTACGGCCAGGCCCACCTGGAAGCAAACCAAGATTCCCCTTCCAACGCTCAGCCTCAAGTGATGGGACCCATGTCCCACCCCAGGCTCACTGCCAGGAAGGCCATGGCCATGCTTGTCCTGGCAGGCAGTGATACCTGCAGCTCGACACATCCTGGCTTGCCTCCTGGCGGGAGGCTGCCCAGCTCAGTGCTGATGGCATCATGGATGCTCTGGGCCAAGCTAGGGCTGAAGGATGCGGGCAGAAGGGTGAGGACCCGGAGGAAGGCATCACGGATGAGCGGGCAGCGCTGGGCAGGGGTGAGCAGCCAAACACGTGCCTCCAGTTGCAGAGCCACAGGGTGCAGCATCTCAGCCGACAGCCTGTGGGGAGACACACTGCTCACCACACTGCTCACCACGCTGCTCATCGCTGCTCAGCACAGGGCGCTCTGTGGCCAAAAGCTGCGTCTTGGTGCAGAGTGACATGGGCAGGGGCATGGCACAGGAACACTCACCCATTGGTGCCCGCAGTGGGCGCCAGCAGCGCCTGCATCTGCAGCAGGCGCCCATGGACAGCATTGTGCGAGCGGACCTGTCTGGGTGTTGTGGGGAGCTGCTGGGCCAGCTGCAGGAGGAACCCAGGGCGCCGGGGCAGTGGGATGACGGGCACCAGTGCCTTGGCAGCCATCGCTCGCACAGCATAGATGGGGCTCCCTGCCAGCCCCAGCAGCGGCTCCAGGAAGCGATCAGAGGGGCTGTAAAGCAAAAAGGACACCACACGGTGATGCTCTGGCTGGAGCAAAACCCCCAGAAGACCAGAGCCATCCCCAGCACCACGAGACCACATCCCATCGCGGGAGCCCTTGGATGGGGCAGAGCATCCCCACTGCCCCTTACCTGCTGGGGCCATCAGCACCAGGCTGCAGCTGGGCCAGGAAGGTGAGGATCGCATGGAGTGCAGGGCGCAGGCAGGGCCCCGCTGGCATGGGCCCTTCGGCTGCCTCCAGCTCTCCCAGCAGCACAGCCCCCAGCTGCGGGTGCTGCCCCAGGAATGCCTGCAGGCTCAGTCCCTCCATCGGGCAGCTCTCCCCACGGCTCCGCTGCTGGCCCAGGAGCCGGGATGTGAGGGCGCCTGCACAGAGCATAAATCAGCATCAGGTCCCATCCATTCCCTGCCCGATGCCCCACACTTTGCCCCAGCCAGGTTGGAACCCCACGAATCTCTCCCCTCGGTACTCACTGAAGAGCTGGATGGCTGCATTCCTCATGGCCCAGCAGGGCGAGCCAAGGCCCCGCAAAGACAGGGCCACCATCGGCGTGGTGTGCCACAGCAGCGCGCTGCCCAGCCCCGTGCCATGGACCAGCGTCTGCAGCACATGGAGGGCACACACCTGGGGAGAGCATGAGGGGCTCAGCAGCACTGCACGGGGAGGGGGCTTGTGCTTCTGTGCAAAGGGAAGGTCAGGGAAGAGAGGGTGGGACCAAGGGGCCATCAGCTCTTGGGCTGCTGTGGTCTCTGCACTAGCGCAGTCT